CCAGAGTCGTGGCTGATCTTCCTTCATTCCGAGTATTGTTTTAGGTAGCATTTGCATGGAGCGGGAAGCACAGGCCTCACACTGCTCTCCTCTCCCCAGCCCCATGCACACCCTCCTCCGGCAGGAACTCAGGTCCTAGACCTTCTCTCCCTCCGGTCCCCCTTCATGCAGGTGTTCTGAGGGGAAACACTGCGTGGCTGTTTAAAATCTCCTGCTATGGTCCCGGGATGGAAGAGGCCCTTGAAGATCTGCGGGACGAAGGGAGACAGGGCACCTCTGCAGGTATCATGCTGATGGGTAACTGACACAGTTGTGACCTTCAGAGGAGATAGCGAGGTTCCCCAGTGGGGGCCATCTTTGTGGCATACGTCAGAATGTGCCACTTGGAATGCTGTTAAAGTGTTTGAAGGTTTGACAACTGATATTCTGCCCTTAAATCGAGTTTGGGGCAAGGATTCCAGCAGAATAAACTGATTTTCAGAAATTTGAGCTGCATTCACATTTGTAAATAATTCTACTTTTCTACAAAATGCATAATTACAGGGATGATGATAAGCATGGATGATTTACCACTGTTTCCTATGCCTCGAGGTGTTGTAACAGTGGGACCTGTGGCATTCCAGCAGGGACGGCCATTCGCTGGAAGCAGGTACCCAAGGAGGAACTAGACAGCTGGGGGGGCGGGGCGGAGGCAACGCATCGTCCCTCCTGTGTTCCCGTCAAACAGTACCAGCAACCGGCAAACTCCAAAGCCAGCCTTACCTCGTGCCCCCAGAGCACATCTGTTCTCAGCTGCCCACATGTTCAGGGAAAATGCCTCAGACCTTCTCTTCTTTGGGTCCTCCTTATATCATTCTTAAGGTCTTCCTTTCACCATTCCTTCTCTTGCTGCCAGCTGTGGCTCTGAGCATCTTGGCTGACTGACAGTGACTTCCTCCTCGCTCTTCCTCTCTTCCGTCTCCCTTGTCTCTAATCTTCACCTCCCTCTACTGCCCACCATTCACAGGTCACACTCTGCTCATGATCCAGGACACCAGGGGCAGTGCTGAAGACTGACAGCAGCCAGTGTGGTGCCCTTAGCTCCATGTGGTAGTTACTTCGCTCTGGGCATGTTATGAGCATCTCACAGTCTGGAACTGGGTCGGTACGTTCATTCTTTAACCCACTGAGAACAACCTGTAGGACCAAGTAGAACTGCCCTGGTGTTCTCCATACAGCATGTGGACCCGCGATCTGAACTGGAAACAGCTAAGGTTTGAGATTTAATAGCTTCTTACACCAGGTCCTCTGTGTTCATAACCAGGCCCATCCTGGACTCTGGGCTGGAAACTCAGCCGGTAGAAGCCACAGCTGCCATGGTGAGCAGCACCCTCAGCGGGCTCAGCATTGACGCTGTAATGGGTTTGGGAGGCAGATTCATTTACATTGATTCTAAACCCTTTGAAGTTTTAGGAGGTCCTTTTGAGGTACTGATAGACCAGGTTTGGAAACGGGCTGGCAACATTAAACAAGAATATTTTAAGTGTGTTCTAGTGCCTTTGTACTGGTTTCTTTTCTGTAGTCAACCCTTTTAATAGACTTGAAATGCAAAGTAATAATGGTTATAATTTTAAGTAAGGGTTCAATTATAAGAAAAAACATTTTTATTGCTGTTACCATAGTTACCAAGCAACTTTCTTGTGGTTCTAGAGAAATGGACTTCATCATTCTGAGTAACGCTGAGAAATGTGTTTGGGGGCACAGGTAGGGGAGAGTGTGGGACAGGTGTTCCCCACAAAAGGAGGGAGCATTACCGGAAGGGCATGTTGACACTTAAGCTTTATAGGGTCCTCCCCTAAAATCTTCACTGTATTTCACTGTGAATGGAAATGTTCCTGGAGTTATAATACATTCACTAACTTAGCTGATACCAAGACTGCATTCAAACGGCAGACATCTACTGCTGTGCTTTACATGGGGAGCTGTTGGCTTTATGCAGGGTAAAACCATATTTAAAAAAAGCAAACTCGAGACACTTCCTACACTTGTAAACACCAGTTGTATCTCGAAGGAATGAAACGAGGCAAATAAACCAAACCCATTGCCATCGAGCTGATTCCAACTCAGAGCGGAACAGCCCTGTGGGGTTGCCAAGGCTGTAAATCCTTACAGAAGCAGACGGTCTCATCTCTCTCCCGTGAAGTGGCTGATGGGTTCAAACCACTGACCTCTTGGTTAGCAGCCGAATGCTTTAACTGCTGCACCACCAGATGGACCACATTTTAAATGTGAGCTCCTGTGCTGGACGGGGAGGCAACCTGTTTGTGTCGGGGCCTCCTAGCCTTGCCCACCACAGTGGGTTTGGCATGGGTAGGGTTAAATTGTGTTTCATGTTTGCTAAAAGGCATTTTTTGGGGACTTTTGGGCTGTGTGGGATCGGAATACAGCTAGTGGAGTAGAAGAAGCCTCCCACACTGACATCAGTACTGGGCAGTGATAACAGGGCTGAGAGGATTGGACAGAATGAGTCCTTGGGGCAGCAGAGGAGAGGTAGAAACTAGAAGGCCAGTGAGCTCAGATGTGGAAATGGCAGAAGGTGTCCTAGAATGATGGGTGGGTGAGGTGACAACGAGGTGAGGGACCACTGGGCTCCCTTCTCCGTCCCAAGTCAGACTTTCTCTCCCCTAGTGGCAGTTTTTCTGCCCCACCTTAGCCCCAAGTTCACCTCCACAGTCTACCTCCTCACTCTGCAGTGCCTCTCTTCTCTCTGGTGACCATGAGCCTCTCCGGCACCTGCACCCTGTTTTTGTTAGGTCTAGAAAGTCCTAGTCTTTAACAAAAATGCTTGGTTTTTCACAGGAAAGACTCATTATTAAACTTAAGAAAATGATTAAGCAACACATACTGAAAGAAAAGCCAAACTCATTGCCATTGAGTCAATTCCAACTCATTGATGACCCCCACTGGGTGGTCTGAGGTGGTGAATCTTTGTGGAAGCAGATTGCCCCATCTTCCTTCCACAGAGCAGCTGGTGGGTTTGAACTGCCAGCCTTCTGATTAGTAGTCACATGCCTTAGGACTGCACCACCGGAGTTGCTTAAGCAACACATAAAAACCAAAAAACAACACTCACTGCCATCGAGTTGGATCTGACTCATAGCAACCCCTCCTTGGGTTTCCGACGCAGTATCACTGCAGAAGTAGATTGTCCAATCTTCCTTCCAAGGACTGGCTGATGGGTTTGAACCACCAGCCTTCTGGTTAGCAGTCAAATGCCGTAGGCACTATGTCATCAGCACTCAAGCAACACATTTCGTTGTTGTTGTTGTTGTTATTTGCTGTCGAGTTGGACGCGACTCACAGCGACCCCTCTTTGGGTTTCTGAGGCAGTATCACTATGAAGTAGATTGCCCAACGTTCCTTCCAAGGAGTGGCTGGTGGGTTTGAATCACCAGCCTTCTGGTTAGCAGTCAAGTGCCTTAGGCACTATGCTACCAGAGCTCTCTAGCAACACATAGGATCCAATTTTAAAAATATATTAATATTTGTCAGGAACTTTGGTCATTGTCGTTGGAGAGTCACCAAAGGGATGTAATCATCACTAAAAGGTCTGAGGGCTGGTGGGCCTGAGGTGGGCTGTGACAGCAGCAATTCTGCCCAGCAGGGCCTCTCCAAGGGCAGTTCTCAGTCTGCCGTAGGGAACATCCCCAGCTTTTGCCAGTCCACACTATCCAGAGTGTCATACCGGTGGCTATCGCCAATCCAGATCATTGCAGTGTAGGATCGGGACTGTGATGGGAGGACGGGCGGCCCAGGGGGCTCTTTTTGCTGGCGGGGCAATCCAGACAACATGGGGACCAACAGCCCTTGCTCTCAGAGAGCCAGAGGCCAAGCTCACAGCATGGCTGCCATTCTCCATTCCATGACTTGTCCACAGAGTCTCCCACCATACATGGTTATGTTCATCCCACCCTAAAAAAGACAAGGCACTCCACTGTCACTTATAGAAGCTGATCTTTAAGAAGCTTTCTAGCCAGTAGCATTTTCAGAAACAAGTCCTCACAAAGAATACGACAACCTTTGACATTGCTCAGAGAGGATTCTTGAGGCAAAGGGGTACAGCCTCAGAAGGCCTCCCTCTGAGCGTGTGGAGAACGCAAGCTGTTCCCAGTAGCCGGGCCCACGGTTCCTCAGGACCTTGCCTTTCCAGTGTGTGTGTGTGACGTCACTGGTTTGCCTCTATGTTTCCCATTGTCGTCATTTTTAACGTTTCCTTTCTTTCTCTCTCATGTATCTTGAGAGTCACCATGAGTCCATTTTTGAAACAAGGCAGAGGAACATAAATCTCGCATTGGATCTGCCTGAAAAGTTTTATCTCCCGATAATTAAAGAGTCCCAACAGCTGGCAGCTGTGGAGCACCCCAAACACTGATGTTTCTGGGGGCTCCCATTTTCTCTGGATCCTGCCTGTGCCTTCTGGGGGCAGTTAGGGTTGCTCCCAGGAAGTTACGCTCACGCCATGCAGCGTTAATCAGTGTCCCTGCCCCAAATAAGCGATAGCCTAGTTGATTGCCTTTCTGGGGTGTTTAGCTCTAAGGGCCCCCTGGGGGTCTGTCTGCAGGCTCGACTATGTCACCCCACCTTCTAGTCAGAACTGTGGCTACAGCTTGTTTCTTACCTGTTGAAAAGCTGAGTAAAATATTCGGACGCTGTCTGTTATCTGCCTACTAACTTTAATGATTGTTTGGATTCATTTTAAAAGGTCCTTGTAAAGTTGCATCTTCCAGTTAGCTAGTCGACAGGGGTAAGCCTAGTGCTTTTCACTGTGGAACAGAGGCAGCCAGCTATGGTTTCACACCCAAATGCAGGCATCTGACCTGCCTGGAACAGACCCACTGCCTGCAAAGGTTTTGTTCATGAAAACACATGCTCTTGACAACGCTGCCTCCTGTGTTTATGAAGATAAATTGTTTGATCATGTGCTGCCATGGCGCCAAGTGACATGTGTGGTTACAATGCAGGTGGACGTGGGCGTGGTGCACTTCACTCCCCTGATACAACCCACGATAACACAGCCGTTCAAGCTGGTGGAGAAAGTCGTCCAGAACGTGTTTCAGTTCAGAAGGAAGTACTGCTACCGAGGCCTGAGGTAAGAATGCCTTCTCTTCCTTTCAGACATTCATGCACTCTCACTGCCATCGGGTCAGTTCCGACTCAGCAACGCCCATTGGGTTTCCAAGGCTGTAAATCTTAATGGAAGCCAACTGCCTCATCTTTCTTCTTCGGAGCAGTAGGTGTTTGACCCACCAACCTTTTGGTTAGCAGTATGGTCAGTACCAAATCCCTGATCACTTTCAAAGATTAAGAACGTTGAAGGCCCCTGGGTGGTGCGAGTGGCTTGTACTCAGCTGGTAACCCAAAGGTTGGTGGTTTGGACCCACCCAGCAGCTCCACGGAAGCAATAGGCCTGATGACCTGCTTCCATAAAGATTACAGCCAGGAAAACCCCACGGAGCAGCTCTGCTCTAACGCAGGGGCCTCCTGCGTCACAAATGAGCACAAACAAAATCAACAGTAAAATGACGAACTGCGATTCTTCTGATTCTTCCCGCTGTCTGTGACGATTACTCTGAGTTCAAATCCTGTGACAGATGAGCCTGGCTGTCCCTGAAGAAAAAGCAGGTCCTTGACTCCACCTCTGATGTTGTTGTTCATGAGTCCAACCTAAAACTGATTGCACAGCTGATGATGACCTGCACTGGGGAAGTGGTGCTTCCGCAGTGTGGACAGAGAGGAGCCAAATAGGGCTTCTTTAAGAACACACTTGAGAACGAAGAAGCAAATACAGCTTCTGAGTGACCAGTCTGCTGTCACACCGTCTGCACACAGCACATTTTTCTTTCAGAGAGAGCATGTTGGCTCTACCTCGCCTGCTGCTCCAGGTAAATGACCCAGCAGATCCCAAACTCACCTTCCAGGTGGCGTGTAGAGCACCAGCAGGAAAACGAGACACACACGGTGGGTTAGAGTCTATCTTTCTGCCATGTCCTGAAGTGACCATAGCAATGTTGCCTATCCAGTGACAATGCAGAAAAGGTTCTGTTGTTGTTCGGTGCCATCAAGTCATTTCTGACAAATACTGACCCTGTGTCCAACAGAAGCAAACATTACCCAGTCCTGCGTCAGCCTCGCGACCATTGCTGTATTGGTCCATCTCACTGGGGGTCTTCCTCTTTCTGGCTGACCATCTAGTTTACCAAGCATGACGTCCTTCTTCAGGGACTGGTCTCTCCTGATAACATGTCCAAAGTATGTAACATACATTCTCTGTCCTGGCTTCTAAGGAGCATTCTGGCTGTACTTCTTCCGTGACAGTTTTATTCATTCTTCTGGCAGTCCATGCTGTGTTCCGTATTGTTCCCTAACACCATAATTCAAAGGCACCAATTCTTCTTCAGTCTTCCTTATTCATCACTCAGCTTTCGCGTGCACATGAGGCGATTGAAAATACCATGGCTTGAGTCAGGCACGTGTTAGTCCTCAAGGTGACATCTTTGCTTTTTAACACTTTACAGAGAGGTCTTTTGCAGCAGATTTGCCCAGTGTAATACATTGTTTGATGTCTTGACTGCTGCTTCCATAGGCATTGATTGTGGATCCAAGTAAAATAAAATCCTTGACAACTTCAGTCTTTTTTCTTCACTTACCATGATGTTGCTTTTCGGTCCAACGTGAGGATTTTTGTTTTCTTCATGTTGAGGTGTAATCCATACTGAAGGATGTAGTCTTTGATCTTCGTCAGCAAGTGCTTCAAGTCTTCTTCACTTTCAGCAGGCAAGGTTGTGTTGTCTGCACATCACAGGTTGTTGAGTCTCCAGTACTGATGCAGGTCTTCATCCCATAGTCCAGCTTCTTGGGTTATTTACTCAGCGTACAGATTGAATAAGTTGGACACCCCTGACACATGATTCCTGATTTTAAATCATGCAGTATACCCTCACTCTGTTTGAACAACTGCCTCTTGGCCTGTGTAAAGGTCCTGCATGAGAACAGTGTTCTGGAATTCCTGGTCTTTGCAGTCTTATCCATAATTTGTTTTGATCCAGAGTTGAATGTCTTTGCATAGTCAGTAAAACACAGGTAAACGTCTTTCTGGTATTCATGTTTTCAGCCAAGATCCATCGGACATCAGATCTATGTCCTTTTGTGAATGCAGCTTTAATTTCAGCCCACTAATTCCTGGATATTGATCTTTGTGTTCCACTTCATTTTTGACAACTTGTAGTTTTCTTATATTCATATTTTGTACATTCCACGTTCTGATTAGTTATGGGTTTTTGGAAGTATTTCTTCTTATTTTGAGTCGTGCCCCATCAGTAAATGAAGGTCCCGAAAGCTTTATTCCATCCACATCATTAGGGTCAACTCTGCTTTGAGGAGGCAGTTCTTCCCTAGTCGTATTTTGGGTGCCTTCCACCCAAGGGGCTCACCCGCTGGCACTGTGTCCGTCTTCTGCTGCTGTCCACGTTTTGGGAAGTCAATCTCCAGGTCCCCATTTCTTGTCTGTCTTCGTCTGGAAGCGCTACTGAAACCTGTTCACCATGGGTGACCCTGCACTTACTCGTAATACTGGTGGCATAGCTCCCAGCATCACAGCACCATATAGGTCACCACAGTAGGACAGACTGACAGTGGTGGAGGGCAGGTGGAGTTGGGCCCGTTTATGGCTTGCTTAAAGGCAGAGAAGCACACGTTTTAAAAGATTTCCATCTCAGAGAGTCCACATTGAGCTGTTTGATAGGACTCAGTTTTAAAGGCACACGTTTCTCCTGTTCTGAACCCCCTTATGTGGAGCCATGTTAACCCTCTCCTCTCCTTGTCCTGTGATGTGTCCTGTTAGCACATGACATTACCTCCAGAGCAGTGGGGCTGCGTTCCTCAACCATTCCAGTCCACAGGCACTTACTCTGGGGGACTTTAATGGCTGAGGTCAGATCCCAGCCCACCACACAGCAGTTCTAGGGAAGTGGCATTCATGCTGAGCCAGGTAATTGCTGCTTCTCAAGGAAGATGAAGGGCATAGGGTTGGCCACATGGATACCACTGGCCATCGCTGTGCAAATTAGGAAGAAGGCGCCCTCTGGCTAGGTGCAGCCCCAGTCAGGAGCACTGTGTGTCCAGCAGGACACTAGTTCAAAGCCAGTGTGCACTCACCCTCACTCGGGGTATGGCCATACGCTGTCCACAAAATGTACATTCTGCTTTTGGAAACCCTGGAATTAGCCTGAGTCCAGAGCTGGTCCTAGTGTTTCCAGGTAACCCCACAGCTGAATGAGGGGCCCTGACACTTCAGGCCCACAGTCCCCTGGGCAGATGGCCCAAATATTGTGGCCCACTTTGACCTGTTGGTATCTGCAGTCACATGACACCACCAATCAGTACCAGAGGTTGGAAACCAAGATCGGGCTGCCCTTGCCATGACACTGAACCCGGGTATCTAAGTCGTCTCCCCCTCCCCCTGAAAGCGGGGAGGGGCACGCCCTTCCTTGTTGAGAGGAACACCTGCCTGGAAAAGCAGCTGTCTCTGCTCCGGCGCCATGGGTGAGCTCAAGAGGGTAAAACCCTGGAGCAGCTCTGCCGAACTTCCGTCAGTCCATCTCAGGCGTTGGACGACAGTGACCCACTCGGGTAGTGGATTGTAGGGTGTGCACCTGGAGGTGATTTTGAGACTGTTGATACACACAGCTTCCAAATATCGTAAAGAGGGGAGTAACTGTGTTTTCACACCAGCTGCTTTCTGACTTTGCTAAGAAAGGTCACTGTGTTGGGGTGAAAGTTCTAGAGGCTGCTAAGTTCAATTCATAGAGAATCAAAACTGTATTGTTCATATCAAAATCGAGGCAAAGCAAACTCCTATTTTATAAGAATGCACCGAGCAGAGATTCATTCAAAATCCCCGAAAGATGCCGATTTTGTTTCAGCTCTCAGAAATATTTTCCAGCATGGACACACGTGGTCACCTTGCAGTCCAGTTAGACGCACCAGAGTGAACGGTCATCGGTGTCACTGGTGGTGTGATGGAGTCCTCTCCACGGGGTACAGTCTCCCAGGACACAGATGGGGAGGCCCCAGCGGCCTCCACCATCCCCATTTGCCTGGGGTGTCCCGACTGTGCTGTTCCAAATGCAGGTGAAGGCAGTGTCACAACTCACAGCATGTCATTAAAATGCTTTTTTTTTTCTTCTCTCTCCCCCTCAGCATGTTATTCCCCGAAGCCCAACGCTTAGAAAGCACTGGGAAACTGCTCCAGTTGGCAGACGTGGACCCGACTCTCCGGCCCTGTCACCTCTCTCTCTTGCACTTTAAGAGACTGTGTGACGTTTACCGGAAAATGTGTGATGAAGACCCACACCTCTTTGCCTACAGCTTCCGAGAGGAGCTCAAGCAGAACAAAGGCAGGACTCAGAAGGAGGCAGCTCGGGAGACTCACAGCCTTTAGCGGCTACTGGGGACACTAACGCACGGTGCCAGGCACAGAATGACAATAAAAATGCCAATGACCAGATAGGACTTCTTTTCCTTTTACTGTACAGGTTGGTAGAGAAAATAAATATCATCAAATAAGATAGATACAGTACAAGCTTTCTTTTAATACATACACTGCATAGGTTTGACATGTTTGTATAAACAGCCACCTAGTACAACCTTACAAAAAAACAAAATCTCTCCACAGTGTGCCCTAAACCACATTGAAATAAATATGCTTTAAATAAAGCAAAAATAGTTCAAAGAAAATGCCCAGAGAATTGGGGGGAAAGGGAGATGACCTTTAAAAAAGCTATTGATTACAACTTCCCCACCTTGCTTTTTTCCATAACTTAAAATAATTAGAATGCAGTTTTATTTTAAGGATTCTAAATCATTCTGGTACCTGCTCAAAAGGGATGTAAACTAAGTAATTTACAGATTCCGAGCAATTTAATCTAGTTTTCCGATCCACAATAAATTAAAATAACTTAAATCTTTACAACTATTGTGTGGAAAGAACACAGACTGCACGAAACCCAAGAGTGAGTCCTTTTCCTGCCCTGTCCGTTTCACCACCAGTTTAGGAGGGAGCAGAGCGGCCTGGCCCGTGTGTGGGGTGGGGCCAGCCTACGATTTTCCTGTCCTATGACTTTCCATGGCTCTCTGCCTCGTAGAAACACTCCTCATTGACAGCCGACGTGAGACTTTGGACACTGAACTCTCGCTCAAGAACAGAGTTTAAATCGAAGCTGGCGTGCTCAGACTGACTGTCCAGGGACTGGTGACGGACTTGTGACTTGAGCAGGGTCCCTCTGCCCCTTTTGGTGCTATTGGCTTTGCGTTTGATGGGGCAGAAATGCCCGCGGACCAGCTTGGGGTGCTCGCCTCCCTGCTGGCCCTCCTGCGCCTCTGTGCTGGGCCGCGGCCCCGCTGGGTGAGCACTGGGCTCCTCGGAGATTCTCAGTCTCTGGAACTGAATCTCAATGTCTTTGGTGGGACTGCCCCGCTTCAGGGCTGTGTGGCAGTCATCCTCCTCATCACTCAGAATATCACTTTCTTTGATGAGATTATCTGAAAGCTCTGACAAGCGTGTGGGTGGGTATTTTGCTGGCGACGTGCTCTTGGCGTCCTGCCTGCTCTCGGCTGTGCGGCAGCCACTGCTCTGCGTGCTGCTGCCCAGGCTGCCCTCGTCGGAGTCCAGCGAGTTGCCCTTGCCAGGCTCGCCCGTCCACTCGCTGCTGGAGGAGTTCTTAAGCACTTTCAGGGATCTGGATGAAGCTGCAGTTAGAAAAAGCACAATCCTCTTATGATACAGAACCATCTAAAAGCAAACAAAACTCAGGGCTGTCGAGGGCACGCAGACTCACGGTGACCCCGGCGTTACCCTGGAGAGAACTCCAGGGGTTTTTTTAGACTGAACTGTTTGGAAGCAGACCTTTCTCCGACAGTGCAGCTGGGTGGATTTGAACTGCCAACTGTCAGATTAGAAGTTGAATGCAAACCATACGGACCACCCAGGGACCTCCAGAAATGTTACAAAATGTGTAATTTTTGTATGACGGATTACAAAATTAAATATCTGAATTACTTTTTTTCATCCAACTTTGATTACCAACTATCCTGCAAATTAGGCAAAAACACATAGACTGCAAGCAAGGGCATTTTTCACTTAAATGTCTATTTGAAATTTTAGTTGGAGGGTTTGGCGTTCTCAGGTGGCTCCTGGAGCTCAGTTACCAGAAGCAATAACTCCGCCTCAGATTCCTAGTTGGCCAGTGCTTACACTGAAAAGTTGTTAGTAATAAAACCTATGCTCCTGTCTTTCAGCCTTAAAGTGCTTTTGAATGTGATAATCAAGATAATCCCATATATCTGTGCATACGCCCCCCACTCCGTTTACTTCCCTAGCTGCTCAAATGAAGTAGAAGAATGTCTTTTCTCTCTCACCAGAACTGTCTCTGTTGGAATTTCTAACCAACTTTCAGAGGTTTAATACACCCAATTCCTCATTTATCAACAAAGTTAGGTTCCAAAGACCAGGTCGTTATGCAAAAATTGGCATTATGTGAAAATGGAGGATGATTGCATCATTGCATAACCACCAAACCACTGAGAATCATGGCCCACCCCAGCTGACACATAACCATCACAGCCAGTGATGCTCTTGCCTTGCACCTTCACATTCATTCTGCCAGATGTACAGCATTAGTGCACAAAATAGTCAGAGGGTAGATTTTCTACTATTGCTGTAAATGCAAAATGTCAGATGAGAAAGTTGAGAAGTGATGAGCAAAAAGTGATGAGTGAAAAAGATGACAGGAAAAACTGGAAAATGCGTGGTAAATTTGAAGAGGTGAAACTGACCAAAAAAGGAAAACAGAAATCATCAATCATTTTGTTAAGACTGAAAGCAAGAATGGAGAAAATAATAGTTAATACAAGCGAATCTCTGATAAACAGGAGTGGAGATGTAGAACAAAACTTCAGATTCTCATGGAATCCAGATTTTCTGTAGCCATTGAGGCTGGATGACCCGCTGCCCACCGAAATGTTCCCACAGGAAATCTTCTAAATATTAAATGCTAAACCAAAACTACCCCTGAAGTCACCTTTAAACCAAACAATAAACTCAAACCAAACCCACTGCCATCAAGTTGATTCTCTTAACAGCCCTACAGGGCAGAGTAGAACTGACCCACATGTTTCCAAGGCTGTTAAATCTTTACAGAAGCAGACTGCCTTATCTTTCCCCTGTGGATTGGCTGGTGGGTTCTTAATTAGAAAGGATGTCTGCCTTGAGCATTGTATCATTTTAAAGAATTATCTGGATGTGATCAACTTGATGACAAACTTGAAAGGTTAGGTGAGAAGCTCAGGAGGCCGTGAGTTAGTGTTAATGATGGTGAAGTAGTTTGGAAAAGGATCTTGAGACAGGCAGCACAACTTGAAGAACGTGTAATGTAATCCATTGTCACTAAATTGTACGTGTGGAAACCGTTCAAGTGCTCCACTATGTTTCGCTGTGTGTATCTTCACCAAAAATAAAAATAAAGAGAGGGGAAGCAGGTTCTGAAAACCTAAGCTGACATTTTGGAAACAGGAAGTTCAGAGCAGCATGATTTGGAAAGTTTACCTGCTGATTTAATGTGGGTGGAGGTAACCACCAGTGTATTGGGTTTCTAAGTCCTAATTTATTAAAATATTGAGTGTGCCTACATGGCATCTACATTGTAGTGGAAGAGACACATAAGCATAGGCTGTGTCAGCTGGTGATAACAGGGATGATGATGTAAAGGTTAAGCGTTCAACTACTAGCTGAAAGGTTGGTGGTTCAAACCCACCGAGAGGTGCCTGGGAAGACAGGCCTGCGATCTGCTTCTGAAAGCCCACAGCCTGGAAAGCTCTGGGAGCACTCTACTCTGTACACACGGGGTCTCCATGAGTCATATTCACTCAAGCAACTGGTTTGGGCTTGGTTTCATGGGAGGGGTGGTTCCAGTAGGTCACCCAGGAACGAGAGGCATGTTTCGGCCTCTTCAAAGGAAACAAAGCTACTCCTAAGGTCTGTCACCGTGCATATATGGGTTCCTGGTTTAGAACTCAGAGTCCCCCCCAGTCATTCACAAGGCTGTTGTTTACAACATGATCCCTGTCAGATTACCCAACAAGGAAGGTAAGCACAGGCTTACTTGTGCTTACTTACTACTTTGAACAGTTTCACCTGGTTTTCTCCACAGCAGAGATGCTGCATAAAGATATGGCTGGCATCCGTCTACTAACCCTACAGCACCTTCCTACAGAATTGAAGCCTCCTCAAATTTACAATCCCTGACAGGGATGGAGAATTCCATAGGCAAGGTAAGCACAGGCTAGCTTGTGCTTACTGACTGATCTATAGTGAACAGGTTCACATGTTTTTCACCACATCAAAGACGGGTAAACCCATGTGAACCTGTTCACTACAGATCAGTCACTAAGTACAAGTAAACCTGCATGTACCTTGCTTCCTGAGTACTCTGCCCCCGGCTTGATTCCAGAGCATGGATCCTTTTAGAGAAGTTCATGATGTTTTACTAAACAAGCCGATGTCCAGCAAAACACTCACCTAATTTGGCAGAAACTGGAACACGGTTCTTAAGCGGAACCAGGCGATCCTTACATGTTTTCTCCAGGGGTAACTCACACTTTATGTGGCGCCGGAAGTTCTCCCGCAGAATTGAACGAATCACCTTTACGATGTTGGTTTTGCTTTCACAGTCACTGGTGGAAGAGAGAGAAGAGCAGTGGTTCCTATATGGCCCCTCCTTCCCGGGCTCCACCCACCTCATCCTCCAGAGGCACGCAGGTCAGGGCCTCCTCCGAGGCACATCCCAGCTGGACGCTCAGCAAGGCACCCCATCTCCACACGCTGCTTCCCTCACTTGGCAAAGGAGGTGCGACCTGATCCCTCTTGAAGTGATTTGGGTATCAAATTAATCAATGTTTCCTCCACCTGCTGTAGCCCTAATTGCCTTTTTAGGAAGGAGGGGGGACAGTGGCCTGAGGTCATCAGATTTCATAAGCCCTTTTTCAGAGACTGTTACTCCATTTTATTAGCGCTGGTTTAATTTTGCCAAGGCCATTGTACCTGCAGCCCAGCTGGAAGGTGGTCTCTGGCCGCCCTTCTATTTCTGATTTCGTGTGGATCAGCTCCCAAAGGGAATTATTTTCCGTCCCTGTGTGAAGGAAAACCAAAAACAGACTTCACAATGTAACCAAAGATGCCTGCTGTGGCTGAAAACATTTTAAAATTCACAATTTCATGACCTTTTTAAAAGTTCAGTATTTGTAATTTCATTATTTTCTTCTGTGGCTCATTGTATCAATGACTTCCATAAGCAGGTAGTTACTTAACTGAAGTTAAAGGCCTTTAGGTACTTTTGGTGTTTCCTGAAGGGTTCCTTCCAGGTTAACCTGCTTTCTCCTCATCCCTGGATTCCATCTGTTCACCAGCCCTCCCTGGGGTTTTGCCTGTTCCTCAGAAGGAACAGTGGGACTCTCTCAAGTGCTTGCAGTAAGAGGCCAGCTCCAAATTCAGTCACATTCTAGAAGCAAGCAGGGACCAGAACGTGACTGCCTGCCTTGGCCTCTTGCTCCTTCTGTCACCTGGAGCTCCGTCCCAGAACATGGTTATTCTGGAAGGATCTCGGAACATTTTCCAGGGCCAAAGGTGGTTCTTCTTTTTACATCATTTGCAATGCTGCCTCATTTAAAGCAACCGTCGGCCGTGTCTAAGTTTATAAAAGTTTAATTTGCGGGCCTTTGTTTCTTTAGCAAATGTTTCAAGGCCATCAGGCAGGATGGAAAATGTTGGGAACGACTGTGAGGGGACTAGGGGAACCATGAAGAGAGGCATACACAAAGAAGAGCCTCCACTGATGCTGAGTTTCTCCAGAAGTCTGCAAAGAAACGTCCAACCTACCGCTCCTGTGCTCATGCGCCTTGTCTGTAAGACACCAACACTTATCCCCAAGACCTTTTCCTTCTTTCTCATCCCACAACTCACATAAGTCTCTCAAGAAGGTTCTCCTGGCATCGCATGACACAAAACAGTTACCTGCTGTATTTCCCAGCCTGACTTGAAGCGCGGATATGGGGATCAACCAGCGAAATTTAAACAGGTCCAGGTCAGCAGAGCCATGTGCGGGCCGGGAATTCGAGGGCTGGAATACGAAAACCCACCAGGAAGGGTGTTAATGATCTCTGCAAGGGGGACGGGTCTACAGTGGACGGGTGCTCTCCGTTCCCATCTGTGCCAGGCCCCTGGCAGCTATGTGTGTTTAGGGCACAGATGCATTGGGTCCTCAAGGGGCTTAAAGGCCCATGGGGAGCAGCCAGAGGAAAGGTTTGGGGAGCAGAGTCCCAGGTCTCTGAGCCAGGATGGCAAGCCAGCCTTTAACGTCCTCACATTACCCTGGATGGTAAGCGATAGCTTAGCACATCCAACTGCTAAGCTTTTTTATTTTGAGTCAAGACAAAACCCATTAGAAACAAACCAGAATTACACAGACTGAAGCAAACGTGGGCCACTGTCAGGGATACAGAAGGTGAATTTCCCTGCAGATTCCAGCCTGGGTCTTTGTCTACATCTTTTTATAAAACTGACATCTTTTGTGGGTAGAATCAGAAATGCTTTAAGGATCTGATTGGTTTGGTTACCCCAGGAATTAGTAACATCAGAAAATGAGTCCCGGGCATTTGCAGGCTTCTCAGCTCAACACTAATAGGAAGATGTGGCCAGGAAAAGGCAGAAGCAATAGAAGTCATTCCTGTCTTACCAATTTCTTTTTCAGCTTACAGTTTTCTTTATAAACCAGTATGACAGCTCGCTTGAAAACTAAAGAAAGGAAAAGAGAAAGAAAAATCTTGTATTATTTTATACAAGCCCTTCTGAGGTTAACCTGGGGCTGAGTATCTTCAGAGAAGAAAGCCCGTCAAACGTTTGAGTCTCAAAGATCTCACTGTACAACAACCAAAGGATAAATGGCCTGCATTCTGGTCCTGTCTCAGTTATGCACATGTACTTGCTTATTTAAGAGCTATTATCCAAAGACAATCCTGGCACCCAAAAGAAAATTCTTGTTTGGTTTGATTGAAAGCTGAGGGCACGATGTTCACCTCGGTGGCAGTGATGTCCCACCACCCAGCCTGCTCTCCTGGCTCTCGCTAAGCATCCGTACACTTTGACATGCAGCAAACTATTAAGATAGCAGATTTCAAAATAGCCTTGGGAGATCTGTTCCTGTAACACTTGGCAACGGCCACCGGGCCAAGCAGCAGAGGGAGAACAAGATAATGAGCAGGCAGAGTGGCAGGGTTTTAAATAGTGGAGGCTGGCTGTGCTAAGCCACAAGCCATCACAGCAACCCCATCCAACGCTCCTGGAGATCAGGATGAGAAGCACAGCTGAATGGTCTTGGAATCCAGATTTCTGGGGTGACCCACTCAAGCCACTGCCCTGAGATGTTCTTTTGAACCTTGAGCCTCGAGAGAACTAGTTTCCAAAAGTCACTTTTGAGTGAAACAAGGATCTCGATGAATGAGTGGAGGCCATTTTGCCTTGAGCACTGAGCGGCTGGATTCCAGAAACAGAAACTCCAAGGTCAGACTAGAAGCTGGGTTTTAGGGTAAACTGTTGCCATATAAATACACTGTTCTGGCCCATTTCTGTGGTGATGTTGGCAGGATGGGGTGTGAAACTCTGGAGGTTCTTTCCTCTGTGGAACATTCTTGACCCCCTGGTCACAGTGTTACCCCGATTTGCAAATCATGTATTAAATCAACCTCAGTTTCCATTACTGGCTTAATATGGATTTTGTTTTAACAGGAGTGAGCAGACTAGTGGGTTTAGGGAAGTTACGTATTCCCAGCCTCTTGTCACCCTTTCTTCAACTGAGGGAATGGTATTTAAACGTTTACTTTCCTTTGAATGAAATACTAACCAAACACAGTGAGTTCAAGGTCCTTTCTGGCTTTTCCTAGAGACAGAAATGGGTTCAACCACGAAACTGTGGAGTGCATCAGAAGTTCTCCCATTGAAAGTTCTGTGACCTGTGGAAACAGGAAATAAAGAAGATGCCAGACCCAGGGCAGACTGGCCCATGTTAGATAATGGGTCACACCTGTGGTCACTGCTAAACCCAAGCACATGCTGTTGGGTTTTTATGGGGCCTTAAATAGTGGAGGTTTTGAAAACAGGAGCTAGGGAAACTGGAAACCAACATAAATATAAAGGCATTTGGCTTCGGTGCATACTGTATATGTGAGACATGCCTCGCGGCCTATTCCATTTCTGAACATTCATTCCACCAGCGTCCAGGTTGATTCAAGGTCCCTTTGTTGACATTCATCATGGGATTGAGTGCATCTACCACCTCTAATCCATCAGCTATGTCGGGTCTGCTAATAAAAACATGGCTGACATGGAAATTGACAGTAATAAAAACCTAAATGCCAGCCCTTTTCTGTTCTTGTCTTTTTCTACTTAAACTCTGTTGCTTCTTGTATATGGGATTTAAAAGTGCGGAATGCTAAAATCAGCAATCAGACAACAAAGGGAAATCCAGAAATTGGCAAATTCTACTTAATTAAGCTAAATCTCTAAGTGAGGCCACCAAGCCACCAGGACTTGACTTTAAAAAAGACAAGACATGAAAGAGGTCCAGTCCCAGTTTCTCCCCACGTGCTGGTCCCACTTCCTTTCTCCAGTCTACCCTCCAGCTACCTAACCAACCAGTTGCAATGGAATCGATCCCAACGATGTCAACCCACATGGATGTCAGAGCAGAACTGTGCTCCAGAGGGGGTGCGTGCCATGGCTGGACTTTCTGAAGCAGGTCACCAGGCCTTTCTTCCAGGCCCCTCTGAGTGCACTTGGGCTTCCAACCTTTCAGTTAGCAGCCAACCACGTTAACCATACAAACCACTCAGGCTCTCCCCACCAGCCCAAGCCCTCCATACAGGTAGCCTCTGGGATCTGTCTTACGTCTTACTACGTGCCCCAGCGGAAAAGAGGAAGAGGGAGGGGCGCGAGCTCAGTGACTTTATTCCTGTTGTCTTTTGTACAATAGTAACATGGCATAAGGTAACATTTTTAAATCCACGTAATGAATTTTATGTTGCATTTATGCCTAAATGGCATGGTTTATTATAAGCATTAAGGAGCCCAGGTGGTGCAACAGTTAAGCACTGTGCTGCTAACCAAAAGGTGGGTGGTTCAAACCTCCTTAGTAGCCCCAAGGGAGAGAGACCTGGTGATCTGCTCCCATAAAGATTACAGCCTACAAAACTCTACGGGGCAGTCTACTCTAGCACATGGCATCACTAGCAGCTGAAAATTGACATGACAGCACCTAAGAACATTATAATCATTAAGATCAAAAAGATAATTCCAGTTATTTTTCCTCCAGGAAAATCCACACACAGAATCCTAGTCTGAAAGGGCACCTCCTGTGATGGCTGAACCGTGCCCCCCAAAATATGTGTTGGAATCCTAACCCCTGTACTTGCAGCTGTCATCTAATGCAATGGCCCAGAATCACCTTCCACAGTGCAATCTAATGAGATCAGTTGAGCTCACCAGTATGGAGTGGCTCCTAAACCTAATCACCTCTGAGTTGTAGGAAAAGCAGCATAGGCACAGAGACAGATGCACAAACTGGCAAAGACAGATGCCATTGTGAGCATCGTCAGTTAACCGAGGAGCACTGGTGGCTAAGGACAAGGAAGCCGTCAACATGGCTGACGTCCTGACTTGAACTTTTAGCTTCCAGCCTTGTGAGAAAATAAATTTCTGCCCATTACAGAGTGAACTGTGTCCCCTCAGAGTTTGTGCTATAAATCCTAATGCCTACACCCGTGGATATAACTCCATTTGGGAATGGGATTTTCTTTTATGTTAATGAGACTGTATTACTATGGGATGTGTTTTCAACCAATCACCTTTGAGATGTGGAAACAGCCAATTTGGCACAGTGAAGGAAGCACACAGGGGAAGACAAAAGACAATCAGCAAAGGACTGAGGAGCAGAAGCTGAGAAGAGACAAGGACGCTTCCCCGGAGCTGACAGAGAGAAACTGTCCGCTAGAGCTGGGGCCTTGAGGCGGGGCTTCTAGCCTCCTGAACTATAAGGAAATTAATTTGTTTGTTTAAGCCACCCACTTGTGGGAATTCTGTTATAGCAACGTTAGAGAACTAAGATGCTGTTTTACAAAGCCACCCGTTGGTGGTATCTGTGTTACAGCAGCACCAGGGAACTGAGACAGTTGACCCAGTACATAAGCATAGGCCACCCAGAGCCCAGACCCCACGCACCTCTTTCTCTGTTCCGCTCTGCTCTGCTACCAGCTGGTCAAACACGGGCCCATAGTCCTCGTATATCTTCTGCATCTCATTGATGTGACTTGCGACTTTCTCCATCGCCTTCAGTGCTTCTGCAGAATTGGAAATTGTGGTTACTTTATAATCAGTTTGCTTTGAATTCAGTCCAACAGCAGGAATGAAAGGGCCCAAGATTTAAGCCAGGATTTGAGACCACTGATTACTAACAGCAGCATTATTCAGATACGACACATGGCAGCCTGTTGTGATAATAATGGTAGCGATAACGATAATGATTATAATGAATATGGCACTCCTTCTTCACTTATCAACATGGTTAGGTTCCAACGATCAGGCTGTTCTGTGAAATCGGTGTTATGTGAAAATGGAGGATGAGCACATCAGGTGACAAGATGGAAGATGACTACATCAGATGACAAAATGGAGGACAACCACATCATCATGTAACTGCCAAACCACTGAGGCTCATGGCCCAGCTGTGTGGACACTGTAACCATCACAACCAGCACTGGTGCACTTCGTGCTTTAGTGTTTGTTACTGCCAGGCATATATCACTGATGTGCAAAACAGTCGGATAGTAGATTTTTATTGTGGTCAAAATGTAAAATTAAGGCCTCAGCTCTTAAGTGTTGCCCCTCCACAGGGACCAGTGGCTGAATTTTGAGCTACAACAAGTTTTTAAGTAGGTTTCACAAACATTTCTGTAAATATCTAGTTGCCAGAGCAACTGCTGCATTTATATGTAGTGTTTCCTTAGCACTTTCTATGAGGGCTTATGTGGGCCAAAATGACTGTGTCAAAGTCGAAAAGCAAGATTTTAGGTCACCACCAAATTCAGTATTTTCCAGATTTTGTCCTGATTCTGTATTTTAATTAAATCTAGACAGAGTTGTGGAAGTTTTTTTAAAAAACCCTTTTAAAGATCATCTTAGTGCAAAGTGACATTTTCACATAGCATCTGAATACTAATCATAGTATGTATCATTTAATACGAAAAAATTTTCAGTCTTTGATGCTTGGTATGGGAAAAGAGCCAGTTTAGTATATAATTTACACTGTCTTCAGAGTTTATTATCCTGTGATAGTCACATTTATTAAGAAGTTTGTTTCCCTTTCCAGTTACTTTCTTACATATGGTTTACCTGGACCTCCAGAAGCATGAAAATATGGAGAGCAAAGTGCTATCGCTCCCAATGCAAATCAAGCATCTTTTTGCTCTGGTGGCATAGTGCCTAAGGCACGTGACTGCTAACCAGAAGGCTGGAGGTTCAAACCCACCAGCCACTCCTCAGAAGGAAGATGGGGTAATCTTCTTCCGTAGTGATACTGCCTCGGAAACCCAAGGAAGGGTTGCTAAGTCAGATCCGACTCAACGGCAATGAGTTTATTTGTTTTTTTGCTAGTCACTACCAAACCAAAGGGCTTTATATTTCCTAACAAAGTGTAAATATTTAGGCCAGTCACTTCTGAGATTATAAAAGGCGACAATCCATATACAGTTGTCCCAGACTTACAACGAGGTTCGGTTCTGACATAAATTGGGTATGTCGCTTTTTTAGTTTTCATTATTATTGCCTTTTATTATCAGTATCTTTCTAAACCTGTCAGTGTTTTGTATAGTAAATCATAACAGAATATCTGCAAGTAAATATCTGGGAATGATAACATTCAACCAGTTAAGCACTGTGACGTATTACTAACAGTAAGACATACCAAACAAACCAACCAACTGACCGACAGCGGGTGGTAAGTGTGGCTCGTCATAACTCGAATACGTCGTAAGTCGGGACTATCCACACACTGGAAGCACCATCTGCATTGAGCGTTCGGTTCTGCAGTCTTGCACTGCTGGGAGATCTCCACTAGGTGGAACCCCATGCGGTATATTTAGCAGCAACAGCATTGCAGCAAACAATCCAGAAAACTTCACAGTTACAGAAAAACTGGCCTGATGTTCCACCCCGGCAGCTCCGCTTATAGCCAAGTGACCTGAGGTCATTTATGGTAAATCACAGAGCTTAATGACTTCTTTTAAGAATGAAGATGGAATTTTTACCAAACTGGGGACTAACCCAATGAAAGTATTTCCAAAGCATTTTTGAAAGTTGAAAGGGATGGCCACGTACGTAGCTATTTTCCCACAGAAAAATTACATCTAGGATTAACTCGAAGGCAATGTTCCAGGCCACATTGCTGCTCCTCTCAAGGGGACAGGGTGTTTACCTGTCAGGTGGTAGTGCTCCTCGCTCTCGTGGTCCGTCAGCGACACGAGCTCCTTGAGCAGTAGCGGGTACTTGAGCACCCTCTGGACAGGCTTGATGAGGTACGACTCCAGTGTGGAGGAGTGCTGCTTGGTGGGGTTCCGGGCATCCAGGAAGGCCTTGAAGGCTTGATCGGTTTTAGCTGTGAGCAGATGGAGGGCAGGCCTTAGTGCATGGTGGGATGAGTGAAATTCTACTTAATTTGGTTGTTAGAGAAGTTATTTGTCATCCATTTCTGTGATCCTTGAAATGTCATTGTTTAATAAAAAACCAAACCCATCACTGGATCGAGCACCCAGATATCCATGCGGGCCACAGCTTCACTGCTTGGTGACAGATCTCGTGAGCACAGGGCGCTTACTGGGAATGCTGGAGAAGTCTGTGCACAAGCTAAAGAGAAGCACTGGGCTCCGATTCCAGGAGTAAGAGCAAATGGCTTGAAAGATGTTTCAATGCATACTCCTCAGAAATACTGTGGTAGGGGGCCTAAAGCAGGTGGTTTCAAACAATGCCTGAAGCCACAAAACAAGTACCCCTACTTTGCAAAAGATTCATACAGCAAAATAAGCTGGTGGTGTTTTACTGGCCCAGTACAAACTGTTGCTTATTCCATACAGTTATGGTTGTTTTTAAAGGCATACTTTTCCCCCTTAAAATAAGTTTATAAAGACTGAGCCTGCAGGCCTCACCTGCACCGCTCCACGCAGCCTAACCCTTCTCACACCCACAGAGAAAGCCCCAACCTATGGAGGTGGCCCTGGTGGCCATGAAAACTGCCTCTCTGCGCAGAGAGTGCCACAAAGAGTACACCCAGGAATCTAAGTGCATTTCGTTCTGAGAATTCCAGGGGATTCACCAGCTGCTGCTTGGATATCACTGGCTGGCACTGGACGAGAAGCAGTTTGGAATGAAGATAGGCTTATTTGTGGTTCTTTTACAAGGACAAAATCTACAACTTCAAGGAGATGTAAGTGCCATTTCAAATTTGACAACCAGACCGAGTGGATGGTATGATAACCCTTCATCCTTACGATAAAGGAGGAATTCAGCAAACAGTTGGTGTGTTTCTGTTTTACTATATACTGTCGATAAGAAGATGCTCCTGAGAGGAAATGCCAGTGGAATCAGCTCCTTGTTTAAAGCAACTGGAGAAGAAGGATTGGGCTGGGTATTCAGGAGCTGAGTCTTATTAACCTGAAGCATTCCAACACTCCATTTTTTAAACTCGGGACTTTTCTTCTAGGATATTGTGAATTCCTAGATTTAAACCAAATAGCCCAGCTGCATCATGGGGACAGTGAGATGTCACCTGGGGGGATAAGCCTCTACACACCCTCCAGAACGCTGTGGGGAATCCAGTCCCTGGTTTTGACGAAGAACATTGAAGAGCAACCTCTGGATGCCTGCTAACAATGCTACCAAGAAGCATTTGGTGATAGACAGAAGACATGACTCCCTTTTTTCAGGTGGTTTGGAACCTAGCTTGGCTGCTGCTACTCTACTGAAGCAACTGGAAGAGTTCTAAGTCCAGAACTTTCCTCAAATATTTGCCACTATCCTGGAAAAGAGCCCGAGCCACTGTCATAGAGAAGTGGCAAATCTGATCGGGAGTGAACCCTATGAGCACGTCCGCACTTATGAAGAAGGCATCTAGGCCCTGGAGGAAGCCATGTTTACTCTGGAAACGTGTAACAGGTAACATCATGCTTTAGAAGCTTTGCATCTTATTTCCAAGTACATTTGAGAGAATACAGATAGTCTGGTAGCATCTCGGGAGAATGTTCAGACGACCTTAGCCAGGATTCCATATATTTTCATAAGACGCCTTCTGCTGTAGGAGCCACAGAAGAGGAGAGAGGCTAGTGTGCTCCAAGCCCACTGAATTAATGCTGCTCTTGGCCTTGACCTGTAAGCCTCAATCCTGTATCATCAGTTCTTCTCCTCTTGTCTCAGTCACCAGAAATGAAAATTCCAAGGAATGCAATGGAAAAAGATGATCTGAGAGCAACCACTGAGAATTCTAATCAGATACTGACTGGTTGAGAATCCCTGGTATTGGGAATTACAGGAGTACACTGTCAGGTATTATGGTGTCAGGTATTATGGCAGCGCCCTGTCCCTGGAGCTGGGAATTACAGGAGTACACTGACGCTCAGCTTGCTTACATCATGATGGCAACTATAATGCAAACACTCCCTCCAAGTGTCCCACCCTTGAGGAATGTGGCTACTGCTATCAAACCTGTGGGTACACCTCCCAGGCTAAGCTGTCTTACCCATTACTGGAAGCCCAAGTGGATCAATCAATGCCAGTCACCTTCTGTCCTCAAGCTGGCACATGACAAGACCACTGCCAAAACTTAGACACCTCTCTGAGCCACATGGTCACATGTTTCCTACTGGCATAGGGAGTGGGGCTATGAAGTTTGACCCCCTGGGTTTACTTAGATTGGAAAATAAGAAAAGTCATAAGTTACTGCCAATAAAATAATAAAAAGAGGGAGACAAGAAGTACTTCCGAGATAGAATGTGGGCTGTGTAAGTGGGAGTCATCCTGGTTCCTCTGAAGAAACTCTGTTTCAGCACACCTGTGCATTTGATGGTTTGTTTGGTGATGGTGTGTTTGCTGCGGCCCCTCAGGCATAAGGAGAAGGGCAGTGAGAAAGAAAGGAAACACAGCATGCATTCCCTTCTGGTCTCATCCAGGGCTCATGGTGGCAAGTTTTTACATAAAGGAATTTGTTGAGGAAAATACCCAGATGTAATTTAACAGCAAAGAGACTCAATGCCAAAACCCCATGTCTGTTGTTAGGCACCCTTGTTCACCACTACCAATAAACTGAAATAACCTTTCCCTTTGGGCTCTGTTACTTTCAAGATCAAGAATGGAGCATAATCCATGAAAGTTACACTTTCAAGGTCAAGAATGGAGCATAATCCATGAACATTACACTGACCCCTACTGGATAAATACAGACTCATTCTGTGTAGCACAGCTGTGAAAGGTATGAGCAACTTACCTCGTTCTAGAACCTTCTGTACTTTAATATGATTAGCACAGAATCCACTGTACAGTTTGAAGTGGTCTGCGTAATAAAGGAACGAGCCTCCAAGGGAAAACAGTAACTTCTGGAAGGAAAAAGGAAATGTGGGATCAGGCGTGGTTTAAACAGTGTCCACTGGCCACAGCGTTGCCTGCTTGGGCGTCGCCATGGTGTTTCTCTTTCAGAAACCCAGGAGCCAATCACAGAGCTGTCACTAACAGAAATAAACCTGGGGCAGCCCCCATACACACAGGAGCAAGAACAACCTGGCACCCTGCAGCAGCCGTGTAGTGGGGTTGTTAGTTAGTGATGCGCAAGCGTCTTGTACCACGCGGCCGCAGAATCTACTGACATGGTGCACAGTCGGACAACAAGAAAGGTCTGTCAGAATACATGTGACAAGGGAAGAAATACAGGAGCTGAGAAGTTCAGTAATAGCAGCCAACTCTCCACTAGCTGGGACTTTCTGTACACAGCCTCTCTGTACACCTCCTCGACCCCTTTCTACCGCCTTCCTTCTTTCCTTCCCCATGTGCTTTCTTGTCAGGCCTTTGGGTTTACACTGGAGACAGGGCTCCACAGAACAGAGACCCTACCAGTGCAACTGGAGATCTGTGCTTTCCATCCAGCTTCTTACAGCCACAGAGAAGAATCAGCCACGGGCAGTGCTCCTGCTTCAGAAGCGATCACCCAAGGGCCCCTCCGTAAAGCTAAGTGAGGATGTGGTGCAAGGGCTAACACGTTTGGCTGCTGATGGAAAGACTGGGGATTCTAGTGCACTTAGAGATGCCTTGGAAGAAAAGCCTGGTGATCTACTTTGGAAAAATCAGCCACTGCAGACCCCGTGGAGCACAGTTTTACTCTGATGCACAAGGAGTCGCCACGAGTCAGGATCGACTTGACAGGTAACTGGTTATGTGGCCGACAGCAGGCTGAGTCCACAAAGGTGCATCCCCAGAAGCATTTACATGAAAAAGCATGGAGCCTCATTTTACCACCTGCCAGAAGAAAGCCTGTTACAAAACCACTAAGTGCACCTGGTCAACAGACAGGGGACAACGTACTCTTTCCAAGGAGACGTCTGCACTGTGCCCACCTTTTCCTGCTTTCAGCCAAAGTCTGAAATACGTACTCTAAACTGCGCAGGGGTCTCCAGGGTGTTGAAGTCAGATGCTGCTGAAATCCCATCCTCCAGAGTCTCCAAGAACACCTTCTGAAACTCTAGCATCTCTGGCAAGCTCCCAAAGAGGGACTCCATCTGTGGGAGGGTCAGGTTTTGAAAAGATGGGATTAGCAGCAAAGATCAGGTACCAGGCGGAATCTGAGACTCAGAAATGAGTCATGGGTGGTCATGCACCAAGCGGAGGGCAGAAGTGCACCCTTTAAAGACGACAGCACATCACCACATGGCAGCATTCAGACACACACAGTTGGACAGCCTTGATCCCCGTAACTCTAACAGAGTGATGTTAAGTGGAGGTAAATTCCCAAAAGTCCAATCAGGAAAAATGGAAGTAAGCAGAAACGAATGCATTACTGTGATTTAACATTAAGGGCTGGTTTATTAAAGTGACTTCTGGTTACACCTTCTTCCTCCACACGAAGGGTCTCACCATCATCTGTGTCTCAAGGCCTGTGCTTCCCGCACCAGAGGCCACCTAAAGTGGCTTTGAAGAAGGTGAAGACTGGCATCCTATGAAGACCCTCAAGCCATGAATGTTCTTTTAGGATTGTTGTTGTTCTATGCCATCGTCAATTCCTACTCACGGCAACTCTGTAAGACAGAGTAGAACTACCCTGCTGGGTTTCCAGGTGTTCTGTCTCACAGAGCTGCTCATGGCTTCAAACCACTGACCTTTCAGTTAGCAGGGAGCATTTAACCATTGCGCCATGAGGGCTCCTTTGTTTGAGGATGTAGTCTTCAAGATTGTCTGCTAAAAGGCAAAGGGAGACTAACCCATGGGCCCATGAATGGGGGGAGGGGAGTACTTACCTCATCCTGTGTGAGAAAGGTCTCACTCTGAAGTGGCTCTAAGTACAATTCAAAGAGGCAGCTCAGGTCCTGAAAGACAGAAGAACAGAGTCTTGAACAGTGAGTCTGAAAAGCCCGAGTGATACCAGTGACCCTGGCAGCAGCTCCAGTGCCTCCCAGTAGCAAGACAAAGTTGTGTCTTCAAACTCTTAGCCCTAAACATGGTGGCTGTCTCTCACTGAACTCAAGGAGGTAACAATGCAGACCCAGTCAACAGCAGGATCCCACACTTTCCTTTAGAGCAACTGATCATCTGCTTGGCTTGGTTAAATACGTTGTGGCCCGGCACCTCACCTTTGAGGTCGGACTAGTTCATTTGCCTGGGTGTGAGCACAGCTCCTGGAGAATCTGGTCTCCTCCCGTGTCAGGGAGCGAAGCTGCAGAGCCGGGGTAGAGGGGCTGAGATCCGGGGATGCTTCAATGTTGGGGCTGACATGCTAGCAGAATCCCACACACCCATATTCAAACACAAGCAGTCCTAATGTTTAAAAGACCCAATGGTTAAATGCTCAGTGCCAACCAAACGGTCAGCAGTTTGAACCCACCAGCAGCTCTGTGGAATAAAACACCTGGGAACCCAATGGGGCAGGTCTACTGTGTCTTATAGGATTGCTGTGAGTTGGAATTGACTTGATGGCACAGAGCAAAGACCTAATATTAAAAGACCAAAATGGATGTCAGAAGAGACTCTGAAACTTACCCTTGAATGGTGAGTAGCTAAAGCAAATGGAAGAAATGACAAGATGCTAAAAGAGCTGAACAGAAGATTTCAAAGAGCACCTCAAGAAGACAAAGTCAATAATTATGAAATGTGCAAAAACCTGGAGTTAGAAAACCAAAAGGTAAGAACATCCCTGGCATTTCTCAAGCTGAAAGAATTGAGGAAAAAATTCAAGCCTCCATTTGCAATATTGAAAGATTCTATGGGCAATATATTGAATGATGCAGGAAACATCAAAAGAAGATGGAAGTTATAAATACACATAGTCACTGTACCAAAAAGAATTGGTTCATGTTCATCTATTTCAGGAAGTGGCATATGATCAAGGACCAATGGTACTGAAGGAAGAAGTTGAAGTTGCACTGAAGGAACTGGTAAAAAACAAGGCTCCAGGAATTGATGGAATACCCATTGAGATGTTTACAACAAATGGATGCCCTGCTGGAGGCACTCACTCGACTATGCCAAGAGGTTTGGAAGACAGCTACCTGACATCTACTTGGTGAAATGACTGGAAGAGATCCATATTTGTACACATTCGAAAGAAAGGTGTCCCACAGAATGTGGAAATTATCTATCAATATCATTAATATCACATGTAGGTAAAATCTTACTGAAGATAATTCAAAAATGGTTGCAGCTGTATATTGACAAAAAACTTCCAGAAATGCAAGCTGTATTCAGAAGAGGATGTAGAATGAGGGATATCATAGCTGATGTCAGATAGATCTTCGCTGAAAGCAAAGAATACCAGAAAGATGTTTACTTGTGTTTTATTGACTATGCAAAAGCATTTGATTATGTGAATCATAACGAATTATGGATAACATTGAGAAGATTTGGAATTCCAGAACACTTAATTGTGCCCATGAGGAACCTATGCATAGACCAGGAGACTGTCACTGAAGCAGAACAAGGGGATACTCATGGTTTAAATTTGAGAAGGGAATGCGTCAGGGATGTATCCTTTCACCATACTTATTTAATTTGTATGCTGAGCAAATAAACCGAGAAGCTGCACTATATAAAGAAGAATGTGGCATCAGGATTGGAGGAAGGTTTATTAACAACCTGAGATACACAGACAACACAACTCTGCTTGCTGAAAGTGAGAATGGCTTGAAGCACTTACTTTTGAAGACTGAAGACTACAATCCATAGTATGAATTACATCTCAATATAAAGAAAACAAAAATCTTCACAACTGGACCAATAAGCAGCATCACGATAAATGGAGAAAAGATTGAAGTTGTCAATAACTTCATATTAACTGGTTCTACAATAAACACCAATGGCAGCAGCAGTCAAGACATCAGATGATGTGTTGCATTGGGCAAATCTGCTGCAAAAGACCTCTTTCAAGTGCTGAAGAACAAAGGTGTCTTCTTGAAGACTAAGGTGCACCTAACCCAAGCTGTAGTATTTTTAATCACCTCATATGCATGTGAGAGCTGGATAATGAATGAGGAAGACCGAAGAACAGTTGATGTTTTTGAGTTGTCGTGTTGCCAAAGAATATTGAAAGTACCATGGACTGCTAAAAGAACTAACAAATCTGTCATGGAAGAAGTACAGCTAGAATGCTCCTTGGAAGCAAGAATGGCCAGACTTCGTCTGACCTACTTTGGTCATGTTATCAGAAGGGACCATTCTCTGGAGAATGACCTCATGCTTGGTAAAGTGGAGGGTCAATGAAAAGGGGAAGGCCCTGAATGAGATGGATTGACACAGTGGCTGCAACGATGGGCTCAGGTATAGCAGGGATCATGAGGCTGGCACAGGACCAGGCAGTGTTTTGTTCTGTTTACATAAGGTCGCTATCAGTTGGAGCTGACTAGACGACACCTAACAAAAACATTTATATCTCACCTGTAGTTGGGTATCTAGTAAACTAGGCTCCCACAGCACAGAATATGGGGAGTTCACTGTATTTATGAACCCTTAAAGATAAGGAGCTCTGGTGGTGTAGTGCCTAAGGCATTTGACTGCTAGCTAGAAGGTTGGTGGTTCAAACCCAGCAACCACTCTGTGAAAGGACGTTTGGGCAATCTATTTCTGTAAAGATTTACCATTT